TCCTGCTTCTCAGTATATAAATACACACACACACTCAAGCACACACATACTGTGTATTTGGGTAGCAATCCCTCTTTTATACATGTTTAATTAAAACAACTGTCACGGTAATTCATTCACGTTCTTTTAAAGAAGGACAAGTAAACTGTTTCCATTTGTCATACAATTTCTCCATTATTGTTCTCAAAAATACAGAAAGTTATCTTATATATATATATATATATATATATATATATATATATAAAAAAAATCCCCCCTTCTTCATTAGAACTACCTGTTCTTCTCTCGTCTGTTACCCCTCCCTATAGCTTTCATTTACTCTAACATTCGTCCCACAGTCTCATACATACACTCTCACTAAATTTTATTTTCTATTCCCGGAGATGTTTTTCTTTTTGAATTTGTAGGTCTGATGAATTGGATCGTATTTACGATTCCAATGGAATAAATTATGACCATGGAATATTAGTGTTTAAGCCTTTTTATTATATCCTTACTCTGTCCTGGACATTGAGTTCTACCTGGATCCTATCCACTTGGAAAATTTTTTTATTATATATGTATGTGTTTGTATGTATATATATTTATATATTTTAAATATATGATTGCATATGTATGTGTATATTTACCACTAATATTATCAATATCTATATCTATCTATCTATCTATCTATCTATCTATCTATCTATCTATCTATCTATATATATATATATATATATATATATATATAGACAGTTTATACTGTGAAACAGAGGGAAGGCTGTTAGACTTAACATAAATGGTTGACCAAAATGGTCTTAAGAATACTACAAACATCTCTTTTCTTTTTCTCCATCCATACATATTTGTATACATATATATATATATATATATATATATATATATATATATATATATATATATAATCTACGAAGGATTTAAACATGTTTTGTTTTAATATCCTAAAGTAAATATTATATACATAAACACAACACACACACACACACATACACACACACACAACACACACACAACACACACACACACTAACAACTAACAAGGTACTGCGATTAAAATATTTATTGAATTTTTGTCTTTGTACAAGTGTTTTCTTTTCTAGACACAAAGGGGGTAAAAACTGTCCAAAAGTTCCTAGCATATCCTAGCGCTTTCGGCTATTCTTTTAGCCACAATCAAGGATGATTTAACTGAATATATGGCTTGTGTATGAATTAAAAACTTTTTAAATCATTAATATTTTTTTTCAGTTATTTTAAAATTTGAATTTTATCTATTCCATCCACATCTGGATACAAATCCCAATGCCGGATGTTCAAGTTCAGATGAAGGGTAGATTTTCAATCCAGATTGCAAAAATATATAATATGTCAATCTAGAGCAAGTTTAGCCAGAGTTAAGGGGGTTTAGACTCACGGACCATCAGACAGAAGCATTACACAGAACGCTGGCGGGATTCGAACCCACAAACTCTGAATAAGAAATTCAGCGCTCAGTCCACTTCTCTATAGAGACAAAATCATGTGAGTTTTTATAACCTTATGATGAGCTATTATTAACTCTGTTTGGCAGTTCAGTCTGAAGTCAGCTTGAAGTATGGGATCATTAATAATTTCGACAAGCCGACGATATATTAGCCTGAGTCAACAGGGTTGGTCAGTCCTTTCCAACCCACCATTATCCACTCTCCTTGCAACGAAATGATTATTATCTTTTTCGATTGCATCAAAACACTTTGAAAACTTTTTTTTTTATTGAAAACCAGATTCAAGAGGTTGTCGAAAACCGTTTCACGCTAAAAACCTGCGGAATTTTACTAAAAGGTTACCGAATTAAGCTGCTCGATAAATGGCAAGAAGTCAGTGTAAATATAAATAGAAGCGAATATCAAAGTGAATAAAATGTAATTGCACTTCATTTGTAAAAGAATGCAGTAGAATGGAAATTTATGATAAAGGAAAAAGTAAATTATTTATAAATAAAATATATATATATATATATATATATATATATTTGAAAATGTATGCAACAAAGGTTAGGAAGGGCAAGGATAAGAAAAAATATGTGGATGGAAAAAAAATGTGGGCACAAAAGTAACCAAAACGGGCTAACTAGTTAACGCTCCTCAATTTTAGGGGTCCAATGAAATCAGCAATATAAGTCATAGACAGATTGCACTGTGAGACACTAGTCGTTCATTTTGCTTCCAGAGGGAAGGCTGCTAAGACTTAACATAAATAGCTACCTGAAATGGTCTTAAGAATACTACAAACATCTCTTTTTTTCTCTCTCTAGCCTTCCTATTGTTTGTATATATATATATATATATATATATATATATATATATATATATATATATATATATATATACAGAGAGAGAAGAGAAAGAGAGAGGGTATGGAGAAAGAGAGTGGTATATATATATATATATATATATATATATATATATATATATATATATATATATATATATATATATAGGGTGCCCATAAAGCTTGTGTGCACTTTATAAAATTCATAACTTTATTTGTATTTGCGATAGAAATAATCTGTAAAAAATGTTATAAAGTTTAATGTACTTTGTTTTAAGTATAGCTAAAATAACTAATGTGATTTCAGGCATTACTGCAAATCAGTTGGCAAATGTTTTCCGTGAACTGCAAAATCGTATTACCCTTTGTATTGCTAATGATGGAGGACATGTGGAAACTTAAATAAAATTTCAAAAAAACCTTAAAAATTATAGATTTACTTCTTCCTAATTCTTTTTACAAATTATTTCTATCGCAAATAAAAAAAAGTGCACATGAACTTTATGGACACCATATATATATATATATATATATATATATATATACGATATGGACACCATATATATATACGATATGGACACCATATATATATATATATATATATATATATATATATATATATAGAGAGAAAAAAAAGAGAGTGATATATATGTATATATATATATTTATATATATAGAGAGAGGGAGGGAGGAGAGGGATAGATAGATAGATAGATATGAATAGTGATTGAGATAGATAGATAGATAGATAGATAGATAGATAGATAGATAGATAGATATGAATAGTGATTGAGATAGATAGATATATATGAATAGTGACTAAGATAGATAGATAGATAGATAGATAGATAGATAGATAGATATGGATAGTGACTTAGATAGATAGATAGATATGAATATATAGTAATAAAATTCTAGTATATCGCACATATAGTGAAGTTGTTAACGCAAGAGTGCTCAAAGTAATGAAACAGGAAAAAGCTAATAATATTCTTTTTACCTCCTTTCTTTTACTCTTTTTTTTATTTTAACATATTTTAAATTTTAAATTTTAGATTTTATTTTCATGCGTATAATTTCATTCCCTTTTTTCCTCACATTAATTTTTGTTAATTTTACGATTTACAATTTTCTATTTTTAAGGTTCAGTATTAAAAATTAGTTATATTTTGATTTAAATCGTGCTTGAAACTCAGTCATGCTAGAGGTGTGAAATAGTATATATATTTATTAATATATATATATATATATATATATATATATATATATATATATATTTCTGAGATGAGGTATTATGTACACTATTTACATTATTCGGACTATTCTCCTCATCTTTTTCGCCATATTTATTACAACGTTTCGGCCGTTGAACGCTCCGGTCTTCCTCAGGATCTCTCTCTATTTCTGAAATGACATATGTACACTATTTACATTTACTGAACCCTTTATTTCGCTCGCTGGGGTAGACTGTTCTAGTTCCACGTGCCATGTATAATGGATGCCAGTTATCAGTTATCTCCTGTTAATTCCCCACTCCAAGTTTTCCACTGCCTTAACCGGGTATTGAACTCACGCTCTTTGGGTCCTGTCACAGGATATAACCAACGCCTTTATTCACTGTGCCATGTGTCCTCAAGGGTTCAGTTCGACATTCCAACCACCTGAAGAAAGCTGGAGCGTACAACGGCCGAAACGTTGTCATAAATATGGCGAGAAAGATGAGGACAATAATCCGAATAATGTAAATACATATATATTTTGTAGTGTGTGTGTGTGTGTGTGGGGGGGTAATTATTCAAATCATCTTTAGGTATATAGTTATGAAGAAATAGAGAAATCATGAGAGAGATCTATATAGATAGTGATAGTATAGTGATAGCGATAAATACATAGAATAAGGGAGAGACTGAGAGAATCAAAGTGTGATAGAGACAATGAGTAAGAAGACAGAGATAGAGAAAGAGAGACAGAGTAATAAGGAGACTTGGAGAGATAACGATAGGAAAATTTAAGAGCTTTTACATCGGAAATTTTGAAAGTACATATATATATATATATATATATATATATATATATATATATATATATATATATATATATATATAAATATATATAAATATATATATATAAAATATATACAACGGTTTCGCTGGGCGAGACCAAGGATAAGAAAAAATCATTACCGTAAAATGGTGGATCTAAAAAAATATCTAACAAGAAGGATATTTTTTCTGTGTGTCTGCGCATGTGCACAGATGCGCATGCGCGTAGAGCTATTTTGTTGTGGTGTAACTCATATTGATAATATTAATAATCTTACTTCACTCTCATGTCTGATTTTAATTGAAGACAGAGATTCAGAGAAGACATCACGAGAAGTTAAGGAAAGAAATGTTAGCAAATGAGGTGTCCATTTAATAATTCCTATCTGATGCTGAAAAGATATGTTGGAGTTTCATTCTCTCATCGGGACCGTCAATAAAAAGGCGAGAAAGCAAATTTACAAAAATAAACAAAAACCCACCCCCATAAAAATATATATATGGAGAATGGATAAAAAGTGGGAAAATGCTTACAGCTCAAGAGACAAGATAACTATCTTTTTTTACATAGATAGATAGATAGATAGATAGATAGATAGATAGATAGATAGATAGATGTCAGTAAACTGACAATGGTAGATATGAACAAGATGAAATAAATAGATAGATAGCTAAATAGATATGAACAGAGGGTGAAAGATAGATAGATAGATAGATAGATAGATAGATAGATAGATAGATAGATAGATAGATGATAGATGTGAATAGATATAAAGATAGATAGATATGAAACGACTAGATAGATAGATATAAATAAAATTAAATAGATAGATAGATAGATAAACTGATAGATATCTATATCTATCTATGTCACTGTTCAGTCTATCTATCTATCTATCTCGATCTGTTCAATCTATCTGATATCTATCTATCTATCTATCTATGTCAGTCTGTTCATCTCGATCTGTTCATTCATCTATCTATCTATCTATGTCAGTCTGTTCATATCTATCTTCAGTCTTATCATATCATCTCTATCTATCTATCTATCTATCTATCTCGATCTGTTCATATCATCTATCTATCTAGTTCTATCTATCTATCTATCTATCTATGTCAATCTGTTCATATTATCATCTATCTATCTATCTATCTCAGTCTGTTCATATCTATCTATCTATCTATCTATCTATCTATCTATCTATCTATCTCTATCATATCTATCTATCTCGATCTATTCATTCATCTATCTATCTATCTATGTCAGTCTGTTCATATCTATCTATCTATCTATCTTATCATATTCATCTATCTATCTATCTATCTATCTATCTATCTCGTCTGTTCATATCTATCTGTTCATCTATCTATCTATCTATGTCAGTCTGTTCATATCTATCTATCTATCTATCTATCTCGATCTGTTCATATCTATCTATCTATCTATCTATCTATCTATCTATCTATCTATCTATCTATGTCAGTCTGTTCATATCTATCTATCCCCGAGTGGCCGACATGGAACTCTTTCAGATTTCTCCGTTATAGAGTTTTGGGAACGTCGACTCGCTCACTATATAACAGTACTTCGTCGCATAGGGACTAAATATCTGAAGTCTGTTGGTCGTTTTCACGAATTTTGGTTTTGGTTTGCCCGATAAACTCATCGTTTAGAGCTTCTCGTTTGATTTGGTCGAGAGTTACAGGGAGTTTCTATACTGTGTTGCATAATGTGGTTTTAAGTTTTACCTTCTATTCGAAAAGAAGCAATCAAGAGGTTCCATGTGTTTCGGGATTAATCTGAATAGTCCATCGGCATGACAGGGTTTTTTTTAGACGGTAGTAACTCCATCTTGAAATTATAATTTAAGAGGTTTGTTCCCTCACCTCAGTAATCTATTTGCTGCAAGTACAAGCAGACCTATTTTTAGAACTGAAAATGGCGAGTAATGGTTTATGGTCCGTCTGCAATATAAACTTTCTGTACTGGTGAAACTTCGTTACTGAGAGAATAATCCCTAACAACCTTTTTTTTTTCAATTTGAGAGTAGTCCTTCTCTGCAGGAAGAAGGGTTCTCGATGCGTGAGCAACTGGTTTGTGAGATCCATCTGGCGTCTTGTGCAGAATACATGCTCCAATGCCATACGAGCTGGCGTCGCTGGCAATTATAATGCCCAGGTCTGGGTTATAATGGGTGAGAAATAAGTCCGACGTCTAGACTTCTTTTATTTTGACGAATGCTTCCTGGCATTCAGGTCTCCACTCGCAGTCCTTGTCTTTTTTTCAGAAATTCGTTTCGTGGAGAACGTAAGTTGTGCATATTAAGTATAAACACTTGGTAGTAGTTTGCCAATCCTAAAAACTTTGTAATTGTTATGGTCCGGTTCCTTGTACCACGGTGATAGTCCAAGGTAGAACCAATAAAGAAGAACTCGAAGGCGGATATGGAATAACAGATATATTACAAACAGGAATATATACAGAAAGGTAGAAAATTGTGTGTACGAACAATCAGGTTTAGTAATAATTGTCTGAACGCGATTCTGTTTCGGACTGCCTCTGACTCGACTGACTGACTCGATTGCTCTGACTGACTGACAGACTCCTGACGGACTTCACTCCAGACTTCAGACTGAACTCTAGACTTCAGACGGAACTCTCAAACTTCAGACGGAACGGTATTTAGTCACCCACCCCCATGAGGGCATCATGTGGCACAAGGCCGGTTTAACGTGGGATCTCCGAGCCCGTGGGCTCGGCCAAAAATATGTCCTTTGAACCCGTATAAACGGGTTCAGGGCCGGTTCACCTCCCCGAAAGAGACTCCGCCCTTCGGCGTAGGCTCGTTCGGGTTCCTCCCCGCCCGAAGGCGGAGAGTTCAACCGATCAGCCGGTCGCCCGACTTCGAACTGAACGGTATTTAGTCACCCCCCCATCACGATGGCATCATGTGGCACAAGGCCGGTTTAACGTGTGATCTCCGAGCCCGTAGGCTCGGCCAAAAATATGTCCTTTGAACCCATATAAACGGGTTCAGAGTCGGTTTAGCTCCCCGAAAGAGACTCCGCCCTTCATGCGTAGCCTCGTTCGGGTTCCTCCCCGCCCGAAGGAAGAGAGTTCAACCGATCAGCCGGTCGACCGACTTTAGACTGAACTCTCTGCTTCCTCTTGAGGCACAGTATTTATTACGTTTGGTATAGTCTATTAAGGTTCCATAACAGTAATGAAGAGACTTTTCGGGAGCTGGCATGTCGGTAGCTCTTTCTGGGTCTGGTCTTTTGCCATTGCAGATAATGTACCACAAATATTCAATCTTCTCCATAAAAAAAATCGCATATGGATTCTTTCAATTTGAACAGTACGCCTAAATTCTTGAGAAGACTTTATGAACACGCTCCTTGTGTTGTTCGTCATTTTGGCTGTTTATTAATATGTCGTCCAAATATACAACCGCGAAGTCAAGACCGCTCAGCATAGTGTCCATTACTTGTTGGAAGATTGCCGGTGCAACTTTGATCCCGATAAGTAGACGTTGGAATTTGTACAAACCACGATAGGTGTTGATACAGAGCAACTTAGAACATTCTTACTCCAACGGTATTCTAAGATAAACGACGCTAAGGTCGATTTTTGAAAATTATTTGCCTCCCTTTAATTTTGTGAAAATTTCTTCCGGGCTTGGTAAAGGATAGTGATAGTCTCTGAGTACAGCAATAAGCCCTGTCGAGAAATCGACGTAGACACGAAACTCCTTTGACTTTTTTCACATAGACAGTCGGCGAAGCCCATTGACTGTATTCAATTTTCGACAAGACCCCGGGCCCTTTCAAGTCTGTTGAGTTCTTCATTTATTTGTGGTAAAAGGGCGAAAGGCACATTTCTTTTTTTTCTTTATTTCTTAAATACTGGCTGGATGTCATCTTTTAACTCGAATTTTGCCGTCATCTTATTACACCGATCAAGGCCCCCAGACAAAAAACTTCCGGAAAACTTTCTTTTAAATCTTTTATTAAATTTTTGGCCTCGGTGGTCAAGTTTTCGAGTTTTTGGCAAAATGAATTAATCGACATGTCCCACAACTTAAATTTCTCCATCCAGTCGGCGCCAAATACATTTTCTGCATTTAATATGTACGTTTTTAGTTTTAACGTCATTCGATGAAAACTTACATTTACGATAAGTTCTCCATCAAACTTGATTTTCTCCCCTGTCACGGACCTGGCCATTTTATTAGATCTTAGCATGGTTAGTTTTTCCAACTTTTTCCAAGTGTCTAGATTTATGATTGTCAAATCTGACCCAGAATCCAACTGTAATTTGATATTTTTATTTAGGATTTGAACTTGCACGTATTTCCTAATGTTTAACCTATCTTGTTCGTCCGATTTTGTGTTTTTTACGCAGCTATTAACCTTTTTCCTCGCTCGGTTGTATCAGCTCTTGTGACCGATGCGGTTACGAGTTACGCACTTCTTATTCCGGTAAGGGCAATCCTTATACAAATATAGGGACCCACAACCGGGACACTGGTTAGGAGACAAGTTGTCTTGTTTCTTTTTGAACTGATTTGATTTAGAGGATTAATTAGATTATTTTTTTTCTTTTGGCGTAATTTTCTTATATGTGCTATGCCAGATTATTCGATGTTTTTTCGAATCTTGGCGTACGCTTACGAATCTCTGACAGTCTTCCTCTATTTGTTGGAGAGTAAGGTTTGGTTTGTTTTCCAATTTGTTCAGAACTCTACGTCTAATTTCAGCGTCTTTGGATGAAACGAGCCCCTGAACAAATATCAGAGACTTGAAATTATTCGTACTCAAATCTGACAGTTTAAAATCGTCGCAATGCTTGTTCACGACCGATGCGAATGTAATGTAATGTTCACTATCTTTTCTAGTTAAATTCATACACTTCTACCTCTTATGAAAAAGTGAAGTTTTAGGACTAAAAAGTTCTGTATGAAGTTTAACCGCTTCGGTAAATGACAGTTCACTTGTTTTACGGGGTAAAATATAGTTCACAAATTTGCTGTGCTCCATGGTGCCTAGTTTTCGAAGTAGTAGGTGAACCTTCTTTTGCCCGATTCGAACAATCTGTAGCGTATAAATCCACGTACCTTCTAAAATAGGAAGCGAAAGTTATATCCTCGTCCGGAGAGTATGCAAAATTGTCTATTATACAACAGATCATGTTTTGTGAAAACGCATTTTCATTTTCACTAATTTGCCCCCTGTTTGCCAGTTCAAGCAAGTTTCTTTGCTCTTGTTGAGTTTGAAGTTGAATTTCTTCAAGTTTTTGTTGTCTGATTTCCGTTTGTTTTTGTAATGCGAGACTTTCTTTTTGAATTTCAAATCGTTCTTTTTCAGTTTGTTCCGTTCTTTTTGCTATTCAAATTGGAATTTAAGAAAATCGAGCATGGCTGATTTGAACTCGTCCATGTTTGGCTGTGTCTCTTTAGGTTTAAACCGAAAAAACAATTTAATTGCGAAGACAAAAAACGAAATAACGTCTTACTCACTCAGGGAATCACGAGTGTTTTTTTGTTTTTTTCTCTGAGAGACATGAATTCTCAGGAAGTTCAGTGTAAGTTAGTTACACTTTTTTCCCGTTCGGTTTCCTTTTCTGGATTGCCAAGTACTGCTGAGTAGAACCAATATTGACAATTTCCACGGAGTCCTTTTGGGGTCCTTAAATGTCCTTAAGGGTCCTCGTCGTCAAGTTGTTGTGGCTTTGTTAGGAGCCAGAAATAATGATACAAAGAGAGGAATTGAGTTAAACAAATATATTAACAGAAAACGGTAATACAACCATCTGCAAACGAGAGTGTTACAGTGAGAATGTTCGGTCCGACTGTCAGAGCTTCTTGCTGGAAACTTCCCTTTCTAAAAGGCAGTACCTGCTCCTATTTATAGCAGGGGGAGTTCATGCGTGCGTGGGTAAATTACCGTAATAAAAACCACCAACCTTGCTAACCAATTAATTTAAAAAAATTATGGGCGAAATGGAAAGACCGATGAACCTGACAGAAATTAATCATCTTATATACGCAGCTTCGGCAACGATCGCATAAATAATAGGTGAAAAAGTAAAATTCAAACGTAAACAAAAAAGAAAAATGTCAGTCTGCAAAGAAAAAAATGAAACTGTAGAGAATAGATTTGTCACAAAGACATTTATGCCAACCCTGAGAATTGAGCAGAATTAGAATACCGAGAAGGAAAGTGGAGTGGTAGATTTAGTCCTGCCTGTGCAGAGTAGCGTTGCGAGATGTGAAGTGAAGCAGGTTGGAGATAAAGGCGGGGCAATCCCTGTAACTACTCTCAAAGAAGGCGGATAATTCTCCAAATTTGGAAAGTTGATTAAGAAAACAGAAGTAGGGAACAAAGAAAACCTTTATTGCAATTAATGAAAATTTGGGAATCACCAGAACCCGTCGTTCCAACGCCAAGTTTGTGCTAAAGTGCATATAAGCAGGTGGCTTTGAGGAGCTCGGAGACTTTAGATTGAAGTGCTTCTGAAGTACACGTCTTTGTACACGTTTCTTTGTATGCTCCGGCTTTCTTCATTTGATATATCTTGAAATTTCGAAGTGATGCCTATATTTAGTACACAGGGGCAGATATTAAAATGCATGGCGAGTGGAATTGGAACACGTAAATAAAGGATTAGTTTCGGAATTCAATGACGAAGTTTAACGCTTAAGACGGCCGAAACGTCGTGAATAAGCATGAGGACAACCTGTAAATAGTGTAAAGGAAAGACGGCTAAGTGATTCTATTTTTTAAACAAATTTCCTGATTAAAAGACGTTGAATCTAACCCCTGGATAAGTTTAGACAAGACCCACTGTCACCATTAAGATTGATGAGCGAAAGGTTAATTTTTGCTGCACCAAGAGCCATAAAAAAGCATTTGAAATTTAACTCCACGAATCTCTCGTTTTATTTTTTCGTTGTGAAGATATTTTTCCTTAATATGCCAGCCGCCGCGGCTTGAATTAGAGCTGCCATTACGACGACCTTTAATTTTCCACTGCTCTGAGATCAAGAAAGCAGCGTGGGCAGAGTTGCTGTGGATCGATGCGACCAGCGACCAACAACCAGCTTAAGCCAGCGTCAACACTACCGGAGCAGAGTTATCCCCATGGTTAAAACGTTGTTCTAAGACCCTGAGTACCGAACCACTAAAATGTCGTTTCATCACCGGTTGTAGGCGACGGTGAAAGAAGGTGTGAAAGGAGAGAGAGAGGGGGGTGAAAAGAAGGGGTTATATATATATATATATATATATATATATATATCGACAGGAGAGTCGATTATACATATATATATATATATATATATATATATATATATATATATATATATATATATATATATATGCATGTTTCATTAAAAAAAAGACAGACAAGGTACTACGGTTGAGCTTTTTATTTAATTTTCCTTGTGTTCTGACAAGAGCTTTCTTTTCTGGACAATGGATGTGTAAGAACTGTCCGAATGTTCTGTATTTCCGAGCGCTTTCGGCTATACCTTTAGCCATTATCAAGGATGATTCGATTATCAGCTTAGTAGAGTGTGTGTGTATAGCCGAAAGCGCTCGGAAATACAAAACATTCGGACAGTTCTTACACACTTTTGTCCAGAAAAGAAAGCTCTTGTCAGAACACAAGAAAATTAAATAAAAAGCTCAACCGTAGTACCTTGTCTGTCGTTTTAATGAAACATGCATAAAGGAAGGATTGCTGCCTAAATATACATATATATATATATATATATATATATATATATATATATATATATATATAAATTAGTAGTATTAGTAGTTATCCTACAGGTATAAGAAACTAAACTCGTTCGAAAAACCTTCAGTGTGTTGATTTGCAAGTAAACAAGCAAATACCAAAGGGAAAAAAATATAAAAGAACAAAGAACATGTACGTTAGCCGAAAATAATCGTCCAGCATGGAAGTCCAAAGTCCAAAGAAGAAAAAAAACCGATACGAGTAGGCAAAATAAGTAAATAAAGTGCTCAATACGGTAAGTAGAGCAGACCTAGTTAAACCTAGAGAGCCAGACAAACCTACCAAGGTTTCACCTAAGCGGATCGTCAGGGAAGGCTGTCTCTCTCTCTCTCTCTCTCTCTCTATATATATATATATATATATATATATATATATATGTATATATATATATATTTATATATGGAGATGGAATATACGCATGCGTACCCTTGTTGACAAAAACACACACAAAAAAAAAATGAAAATAGATCTAAGAACACACAGAGGTCATTAAAAGATATAGATATCTTTCTCACCCTTTCTCGGACCAATCTTGATTGTTTTATTGCCCTTCACGCAGAATTCTTTCACTGCCAGTTCAAGAAAGATATTTGGGTCACTAACACGCAAAAAAGAGAATGTCTAATATCGAGAATATTTAACATCGAAAAACATTTATTAAAATTAATTCCTTTTAATAATATGTGGAAATATCCACTCTTTGCCTGAGGAAGGTCGTGAGACCGGAAACGTGTGTAGCAGAATTATGGAAAATAAAGCATAATATATTTTAAAAAATCCACATTACAACCAAACGCTTTTGCGATGTCTCTCTTCTTGTTATTATATATATATATATATATATATATATATATATATATATATATATATATATATAGTATTCATCTTATTAATCCTCTATCTTTAATATCAGCACTTTATTGCAAAGAATGGTTTACCTTAAATGTGTTTTCTAACATTATCTCATTGAATGTCAGCGTTTTAATCATCATACTATCTTTAATATCCCTATACACACACACACGCACACAAACACGCACAAAACACGCATATATATATATATATATATATATATATATATATATATATATATATATATATATATATATGAAGAAATATACTCTTAAGGTGTGCTATATTTATGGGATAAAGTGCTCAATATCAGAGATAGAGCGTGTGGTAAATATAAAAGTGAACACTTAGAGGCGACAGGCTGTTTCATGCCTATAAATAAAAACATGGAAAATAATCTAGCCCAAATAAATAAATTAACAAATAAACGACTTCCGGCAAAATAACCGCCACAATGCACCACTGACCCGTATATATAAATAGCTGAGAAAAAACAAAACAAAATGTAAGTAATCGATCCGTTGGTATGTAATACAAGTGGATCCTAATTATATCAAATATCAAAACTTATTCCCAAAGGGAGCTCAATGTATTTATTATAACAGAGCATATAAATTACACAGCAGAAACATTTAAAATTACCTCGTGTGGGTATAGGTCTAATTCAACCCCGATGAATGGACAGTCCATTCACCTGGATTGAATAAGATCAACGTTCTTAGCGTTAGCTGAGATAGATCGATGCCCACATAAGCTACTTTTTTTTATTTTTCTGCTGTGTAATATATATATATATATATATATATATATATATATATATATATATATATATATATATATAATGTTGTTGATTCAAGATAATTGATAAGTAATTGATACTCTGTATAAATGATTAACTGAATTTTACGAAAGTTCTCAGCGACCTGGTTGCCTCCTTGGAGCTCCTATTAAATTAAGTGCAATAATCAAAATGGATCGATCGCCTCCTTCCTTTTAAATACGTTCTCCCCTTTTTCATTAAATGAAGTTTATATTTACACCGCGCCAAAGAGGGAAACAGATCGGGAGAGGATTAGCGGGGAAAACAAAACGAGAAATGGAAAACATGAACACAAAAATAAATAAAAAACAAAACAAAACAAAAAAAATAAAAAAATAAAAACGTTTTCAATGACAAAGAATCCAAGGACATAAAAATGGCGGATATCCCACAATGTCATGTGACATTTTTTTTTTTTTTATTGTTCTCCCAGTTGAATTACTCCACCTCAACCTTAACTAGAGTTACTGAATCGGTCGAGTTTTTTTTTTTTAGCTTTTTTTTTATTTATCTATTTGCTTTCCTTTACTGATTTTCTTTCATAGCTGACGCATTCCTTTTGATTCTTGAGTTTGTCTCACTCAGGTAGTTGCATCGTTCGTCAAGTAGACGTTGTATTTTCTTCCCGCGTTTTTATCCTAAACCGCAAAAGATTCTTTACAGCTTTTCTTGAAATAAAATCTAAGATAATCGAGCAATTTACTCGATTCCCCAAACACTCAGCCAATCAGAGTATTAAATTTTGACACACGGCCTGTTTAAAGTGGAGAGAACAAGCGCGCGAAATTTGGCTTAGGCAAAAAAAAAAAAAAAAAAATATATATATATATACCCGGTTTTATTTCGGCTAAGAATAATTTTCCTCTTGTCTTTTTATTCATTTATGATATCATGACTTGTGTCAAAGTTTCACTGGAGATCTAATTTTTATTTCTAAAGAAAGAAAACTATTTTTCATATAAAAATAATGCTATAATATGAATTATTAAATTTATATCTCTTTTGGTGTACAGGGTGAAAGGTCAAACTCTGTGCCTCTGAGCGGAGAGGAACCAAGACGAGACTATGCCGAATGGCAGTCTCGTTTGGGGAGATGTAGACAAAACAGACCATGTGTATATGTGGACTACGCGCAATTTTTACCCGAGTCTACGGGCTCGGAACGCCTCACAT